TAATATCTATGTCATATGAAAGACACGGAGCGATGTATACATGAATAAGTGCCAGTTGATAGTTTTGATATAAAATTATAAGTCATATAGCTTATTCTTGTATTAACTATTATTATATCACGGTATAACCCACGGAAAGGAGGGACCGCTCGCAGTCTATATTAGCTTATTCTTGTATTATTATATCGCGATAGAGCTAGGTTTACATGGCCCAATATTCAATAAATAGTAAACAATAAAATAAAATTGAAATTTTGCTCAAGAGGCAACATGCCGAGGTCGAGCGTATTTATATTGTAGCGGCGACGCCGGCGAGAGCCAGTGTCCCAGTGAACTATAAATGTCTGTATTAATAATGATCTTATTGATCTAGTGTTTGTGGTGAAGTATATCATTTTTAATAGCAGAAATTTCTGTACTCAGTGTAATCTGTAGTCAGTAATGTCAGTTTGTATTGTTTCCGAGACGTTTTATATAATCAGTCATTCCAAGCTTTTGTCAAACTATTGGTATTTCGCACTTACTGTATGCAGTTATGGCATTTCATTGATAAACTGTAAAATATTATATTTAACCAGACACAGTATTAAAATGCGGTGCCCGCCTACAAATAAAACTTTCGGCGTTTCCGCCTACATGCACAAGTAAAGTTATATTTAGAACGCTACACATTTTCCTGTCGACCGCCAGTTGGTCCGAATATTAGGATCCAAACTGCGTTTTAAAGCCTTCAAAATAAAATATTTTGAGCTCAAAATATTATCAAAATGAGGAGAAAAGTGAGACGAATCCACTGGCATGCGGCCGAAAACGAGAAAACCAACAATTCCGAAGTTATCAAGGATCAAACGGACTGCATTTTTAATTAGTTTAATAATTTTGAGCGATTTGTAAACAATACAATTTCGCTTACTAAAACTGCACATTAAAACCTTCAAAATATAATATTTTGGGCTCAAACTACTAACAAAATAAAGGGAAAAGTGAGACGAATCCACTGGTATATGCCCGAAAAAGAGAAAACTAACAATACGAAAGTTATCAAGGTCAAATGTATTGCATTTTTAATTAGTTTAATAATTTTGAGCGATTTGTGAACAATACAATTTCGCTTGTCTTTCAAAGGCCATAAATCGCTAGAATACTGTTGTTTAGTAATACATTTGACATCTATGAGTATAATTTCTTACGCTGATTCGAACTGTAGTATTTTTGTCCTTGTTTGACGTATAAAACCAGAGATAAAGCTTAGCAAGTAGTCGATCTTGAGAGTACAAGATTAATAACAATTAATAAATTCCGAGCACGTGCAAGAAATTTTTAGTAGGCGAGTAAGGAACGTATTGATGCGAACCGCACATTAACAAACGGACAAACAAACTCGCAGGCAGAATATAAGGCGGTGCCAAAAATGGCACGGGCACCGCAATAGTGAGAAGTATTTAGACATCCGCGTTCGCCAAACCTAAAAACCTCTGGGCCAGGGTAGCCATAGACCCATAGTTCTGTTTGCATATTATTACTGTAAAGTCATTAGACAGCAACTTCTGGAGCACGTGGCCAGCACGCAGTCGATTTGAACTCGTCCTGTCAGGTGACAACAATTTCTTGCAACAAGCTGTTCATTTTTGTTTCATTTCGATTTTCGAAGGCGGTTTATTTTGTTTTGTATTAAAATGTACAACAAAAAATGGGTAGAAAATTGAATTAAAAGCAAAGAAAGAAGATCTGGACTAAAGCCACCATTCAAGGGACTGAAGCCGTGGAAAATCATCCATGGAAAAACAACAAAATTTACTGTCGTGGCTTGTAATTTATAAAAACAAACGCCAAACAACTTCCTTATAGATGCATCAATCCTATCAGTTCATACATTAATCATTATGCGAATCAGCATATTAAAATCTTAATTATCATTTGTCATGTCAACTTTGCACTATCCTTGGGATCTCTGAGTTTAAAACCGGGACCGTTTTAATAATAATAATAATAATAATAATAATAATAATAATAGTCTTTATTAATCAATACTCGAAACACGGTATGCACGATTATAACTTATAACTTATCAATCTGACTAATGTATTTAGTGTAAGATGCTCCTCCCCAAAGTTCAGCTCCGAAAGTGAATAATGACATTATTAAACTCTGAAAGAGAAGTTCTAACTGCTTTGTTGTAAAACCATAATATTTGCACACCCGTAAAATATACATTCGTCCACTCGCTTTTTTAAGCATCTCTTCGAAGTGTATGTTCCAATTTCCCGGTATTTCCTCAAGGGTAATTCCAAGTATCTTGAGCCATGTTTTCCGTTTGATGGACGGAATGCAACTGGGTAGAGGTATAGATGCTCTCCCACGAACAATCATTTCGTATGTTTTATTCATATTCAGCACCATTCGACTTTCATCCGACCATAATTTCATATTTTCTACCTCTTCAGCACCTGTATCATCCTCATCATAGCCCGGGGCTTCTATTGTTATATCATCAGCGAATTTACAGAGTTCATTGATTGGATTGACTGGTTTAATGTCATTTACCATTATTGAAAATAGTTTCGGGCTGTTTTGCTCTAACAGGGGCCAACACAAAACACTAGGGGCCAAAACGGAACATTAGGGCCGTTTTGGCCCCTATTTTTATAGCTATTTTGGCCATGTAAAGGGCCAAATTGGAATGTTAATCTAAAATAAGAATTATGTCACTTTCCCATAAGTACCGTTTTGGCTCTTACCGTGGCTAAAACGGACCACAAAGGCTATTTTAGCACCTCGAGGGCCGTTTTGGCCCCTGTTCTTAATGCTATTTTGGCCCTCATATTTAGTGCCGTTTTGGCCCCCATACTTGGCGCTGTTTTGGCCCGCATTTTTAGTGCTATTTTGGCCCCATATTTAGTGCTGTTTTGGTCCCCATATTTAGTGCTGTTTTGGCCCGCACTGATGTAGTGCTATTTTGGCCCTCATATTTAGTGCTGTTTTGGCCCTCACATTTAGTGCTGTTTTGGCCCCCATATTTAGTGCTGTTTTGGCCCGCATATTTAGTGCTGGTTTGGCCCCATATTTTTAGTGGCTTTCTGCCAGGTTGCCAAATTTCGTAAAGAAGGTCTATGGCAAAATTGCGACCTCGTGTAATACAGCAATTGCCTCCACAATCACACGACGATAGTGTGTGATCCCCAAAGACCGAGAAAAAACGAGCGAGTGTTCATCTCACTCCACAATCAACGACAATGACTCCTTATATCAGTCTTTACAGCTCGCAATCCAAGTAAGAATGATCGTTATGCTAACTCGGATATCTGCCCGTCTTTAACTATAGTTTCATTATAGTTATGACTGGTTAGGCATAGTGGTTTGGACAATAATTAATAAACAATACTGGGTGCAGTAGCCTGCGGGTTTGGCAAGCAAATAATGAAAGTCTGTGATAGAGTGTTTGTTTAGACAATAATAGCTTTCGGGCTGGCTTATAGACGTTTGTAGTCAATTATAGACATCTTAAATCTATAATTTTCAGGTCTATCGCATTGAGTATCGTCCCTTAACAATACTTGTACTGGTAAAAATTGCCATTTAAAGTACCTCTTTACATAATTTCTTTGCTACTGTTGTCAACTTCTAACGATTTCATTATGTGATATATTATAGATGGTTTACAGTATGGCGCCGTTTCCCTTCCCAAAGATTGTGGAACTTCGTGAAAAATACACATACAACATTCATCCGCTTTCAAACAACCTTTCTCCAGAGAAGAGAGTGAAATTCAATCAGAAAACAAAGAATGGATATATTTCCAGCGATGATGAGGATGATGACGTCAGTCAATTACATATTGGATGCCTGGGGATACTCTCGCCGAAGACCACTTCAGAAGGAAGTGCGCATAAGGTCCGTCATTCAGGCGGATATCCATTCACTTTGAATTTTAGTAAACCTACAAATTGTTCCGATAATGTGCCGAGGAGATCTCGACCGCCTGTTGATGTGTCTGATTTAGAGAAAGAGTATAATAGGACTAGAAAAATGCAGCAACAAGCTGTTGTAGTGTTTTCTCAAAGTAACGCAAGTAAATCTCAAGATTTGCGTGAAATACCGCCAGCTATTAATCATCTGTTTGTGGTCACCCGTGCTCGACGCAATAAATGGAAAGAACATTTGCAGAAAGAAAGACAGCGGCAAGACAAATTACTTCCGGTGCACGAAGAGGAAGAGGACTGGGAACGAGGTCACGTGGAGAAACATGCAAATGAACACGTGACTGATGCTGCTGAACATTTGGTGGGATTGTTTAAAGGTGCCACTACAGACGAAAGCCCGCCATATGACCAAGATCGCACATTGGAAGAAAACCTAGAAGCCAATTTAGATATTGGGGTATCATTAACTGATCAAAACACATTACCCAAATCATTAAAATCGTCGAAAGATCTAAACACTTTCAAGATTGTAAGATACTCTAACCCATCAAACAGTTTGAAAACAACGAGGGATAAAAGTCGAACAAAAGCGGTCAAAACATCACTAAGCATATCATCCGTCGACCCTTCCTTAGTTTTACCGGACAAAAAGTGCATATACCCGGCAAAATTTTTTCCATTTCCAGGGACGAGGACAAAAGTATCGAATAATGGACTGTTATGCAGCAAGCGGACAGAGACGGAGCAGCCAGCCAAGAAACAGTCATTCATCAGTGGGCCACCTATGCCATGCCAGGCTAGGACGAATAGATAAAGGTAGATTGATGTAATTAAATTAAAGCACATAATAATAATAATAATGGAAACTTTATTAATTACAATATATATATATATATATATATATATATATATATATATATATATATATATATATATATATATATATATATATATATATATATATATATATAGATATATAGATAAAGATAAAGATAAAGATAAAATAAACCTGGTTTACTTCATAAGATTTATTCACTACAAACTTGTTTCGTATGACAAGCAATGCTTGCCACACTCATCAGGTGAATTTAAATTCACCTGATGAGTGTGGCAAGCATTGCTTGTCATACGAAACAAGTTTGTAGTGAATAAATCTTATGAAGTAAACCAGGTTTATTTTATCTTTTTCTATATTAGCTCTATACTTCGGTATATCGAGCACTCTACTCATATATGATTCTAATTACATTGGTATATATATATATATATATATATATATATATATATATATATATATATATATATATATATATATATATATATATATATATATATATATATATATATATATATATATATATATATATATATGGTATATACCTGAGGCAAAGAAATTTAAGTTTTTAAGTATTTTTCTCGCAACTATTGGTGGGTTATACCCACCAATGCTTTGCGGGCATACTGGATAATAATATCGCAAAACATTGGGGGGTATTGGAGTTCCCGCGCATAATATGATAACTGATTGTTTAAGGTCAAGCATAAATTGTTAAAGCTATCAAGATTAGAAGCAATTAGTTTACATATTACAGTAAAAGGCCACAAGTTTAAATGGTGAGGGTTCAAATTTTATTATAAAAGGCAAGTGAATTATATATTGGCGCAGTGTCGTTGCTGTGCAAGTTTAAAAGGTGAGGGTTCAAAGGTTGCGTTGCTTTCTGTAAGAATTATTATTCGCTTGGGTCAACACCTTGTCAAACGGCATTTTATTTCTGTGGTTTGTTTACGTGTCTATTAATTAATAGACTTGTGAGGTACGTTGTTACTATCATTTGTTGTTGGTGAAGGAGTCAATTCGTCAAATTAACGAAAAGCTTTAAAGGTTAAACAGTAACGCAGATTAAAAACTCGGTCTATCAAGATTCTATCAAGTATCAACTATACGATTTTTCGGACACATTGATCAAAACAGGACCGTGACCCAAAAGACTTGGTTCACACATCAGTCAGTCAAAAACAAATAGGGACCTTTAGCAAATAGGTGACGGCAACGCGACGACGACGGCCAAAATAAACTCGTTCGAATAAGTAACTTTGAGATCAATATGTCTTGTACTGTCCGTTGTATGAATTTATTGCAGTAAGAAGGTTAAGACAGAGGTTTATAGTTGAGAAGACTTCTACTAAGCCAATTTGGCGAGGACGACTTCTCGCGGCTTGAAAGGCAGACGTTGTATACAAAACGTGAAAATCTTTGGTTTGCTGTTGTAAACAGAGCAAGGACGACGTCTAAAACTCCCATGGGACCTTAAATTATGCATTTTCTTTCCACACTGTCATAAATTTCATTGTATTAATAGCCGTCGCCGTCCTGCTAGCTAAAGGTCCCTAATACAAAGCTTAACACACAACGGAGCAAAGCTTAACACACAACGTCACATTATAAAACGTTTGTAACAGTTTGTTCATAGTCTCATAGTCATTGTTCCATTATATTGAAAAGCGCCATTCCTCCAGCCGGATAGATGCACAAAGATCAAGTTACAGCTGTGGTTACTGTTTCACTTTTAAAGTTCGTGCAATTTTATCAATATTCTAAGCGTTTGGAAAGAAAGCCAGAAAGTAATAATAACATTTTGTCGTATTAATATTTGTAAATTACCATAAGGCATGCACTGTAAATTTCAGGGAGTAAAAATTACCCCTTTGAAGGTCAAAAATTACTCTCTTGAAAGGAGTAACTGCATGATTTTAGGGTAGAAATTACTCCATAATGCAGGGTAGTTAGTAGCCAAATCGTTGAATACGGAGGGGTAATTGAGGGGTAATTGAAAGAGGGGTAAAAATTACACTGGTTTTGCGGGTAATGTTACGCGGTGTATATTCGGGGGTAAATTTTTACGGGGTAAAACTTACCCCTTAGTTACCCTTCAATTTTTCAAGATGGCGGCGACGCATGGAGTAACAGAGACCCGCAGAGTCTCTTCGCGAGTATACGATTGAAATTTAACCGATTAATTTCATACATCAAGCACATAAATTTGTGGCCATCGAATGAATCGATGACTGGCGTCTTCATGGGGCAAATCATTGTTATTAAATGTGTTGGCGTCGCCAGTTTCCTCAGTGTTAGCGTCGTCATTGTTTTCGACATTCGTCTGAATACGTTTGATGTGCTTTCGCCGAAAAAATGATCCACATGCAGATGCAATAATTATAAGACATTTATATGGCTTGTGTCTTTGGTTTATAGATTTCACACCACTCGCTTATAAACGACTCCGGTACGAAAACATAGAACACTAAGTTTCATTAATAAAATTCATTCCCAAATTATCGTATAAGGTATAAATTGCCATTGGGCATGCAACATGCGGCTGGTTTCAATTCATTAATCAACGTTGCGTGTTGCCGGTATCTGTCAGTTTTGATGCCGCGGAGATAGTAAAGCTCGTGCAGATTGGTTAAAAGGTCTCCTATTTCGTTTTACTTTGTTCTATTATTGCCTATTCATGCCCCCAAAAGAGTCCCTGAAACAACCAAATTTGTGATCGCGTGACACGCTTATAATCGTGACCTTGTTATTTTGAACTTATCACAAGAAACCTTAGAAACGAACACCTAAGGGTTTATTTCCGCCCACTGGCCGTATCATATACTATTAAAATGTAGGCAGTTGTTTTTTTGTGAGCACTCGGGCAACATTGATAATTTTGGAAAAAAGAAAATACCTATATGACTGTAAATTTCAGGGAGTAAAAAAATTACCCTTTTGAAGGTCAAAAATTACTCCCTTGAAAGGAGTAATTGATTTTGGGATAGAAATTACTCCACAATGCAGGGTAGTTAGTAGCGGAATCGTTGAATACGGAGGGGTAATTTAAAGAGGGGTAAAAATTACACTGGTTTTGCGGGTAATGTTACGCGGTGTATATTCGGGGGTAAATTTTTACGGGGTAAAACTTACCCCTTAGTTACCCTTCAATTTTTCAAGATGGCGGCGACGCATGGAGTGGCAGAAAAACGCAGAGTCTCTTCGCGAGTATACGATTGAAATTTTACCGATTAATTTCATACATCAAGCACATAAATCTGTGGCCATCGAATGAATTGATGACTGGCATCTTCGTCGGGAAAATCATTGTTATTAAATGTGTTGGCGTCGCCAGCTTCCTCAGTGTTAGGCTGTTAGCGACATCAATGTCTTCGACATTCGTATGAATACGTTTGATATGTGCTTTCGCAAACAATGATCCACAGATGCTACAATTATAAGGAATTTATGGCTTGTGGCTTTGGTTTATAGATTTCAAACCTTAACCACTCACTTATAAGCGACTCCGATTCGAAAACATAGAACACTAAGTTGCATTCCCAAATTAACGTATAAGGTATAAATTGCCATTGGACATGCAAAATGTGGCTGGTTCCAATTCTTTAATCAATGTTGCGTGTTGCCGGTATCTGTCAGTTTATATGATGCCGCGGAGATAGTTAAGCTCATGCAGATTGGTTAAAACGTCTCCTATTTCGTTTTATTTTGTATTTTTATCCTATTATTGCCTATTGATGGCCAAAAAGAGTCACTGAAACCACCAAATTTGGGGTATGACTAAAGGGAGAGTTACCAACCGGAGAGTTATCTCGGAGAGTTATGATTTCGGAGAGTTATGTTCAAACCACGCCCACTTTCCCCAACGACCACACCCAATTTCTTAACTCTCCCGACGTTTCCTTGAACTAACATGAGAGAGTTATGTTTGACGTAACTCTCTCTCTCGTTAACATTATGAAGATGTTAGAGAGTTATCATTTTTTATAACTCTCCGCGTTCACGATTATGGCAATGAAGAGAGTTAAGTCAGTTTTTTGAGAAAACCTTAGTAAAGCTTGTTTCTTCAGATTTTCATCTTATATTTTGGTATTTCAGTTTGTAGCGTGTCAATAGCGTGCGTCCAAACAGGAAATACAAATTGACTCGGTCAAAACAATGAGATGCTTGCATCAGAAGTGAACATGTATATTTATATAAACATTTACATATAGATGAACTTGGTAAGTACTAAAGTACTATTAGTTTCTACTAGCGTGAAATGTTAAAGCTGACACTTGAGATAAAAGTAAATTTACAAAAATTTACTAATATGTGGAAGTTTTTTTCACAAAACTGACTTAACTCTCTTCATTGCCACAATCATGAACGCGTTGAGTTATAAAAAATGATAACTCTCTAACATATCTTTATAATGTTAACAAGAGAGAGTTACGTCAAACATAACTCTCTCATGTTAGTTCAAGGAAACGTCGGGAGAGTTAAGAAATTGGGTGGGGTCGTTGGGAAAAGTGGGCGTGGTCCGAACATAACTCTCCGAAATCATAACTCTCCGAGATAACTCTCCACTTCATAACTCTCCGTTTAGCCGGTCCCCCAAATTTGTGATCGTGATACGCTAATAATCCGGCGTGACCTTGTTATTTTGAACCACAGTTTGAACTTAGCACAAGAAACATTAGATACGAACACCTAAGGGCTTATTTCCGCCTACTGGCCGTATCATATACTATTAAAAATGTAGGCAGTTGTTTCTTTTGTGAGCACTCGGGCAACATTGATGATTCCAAAAAAAAAAAATACTAGACTAACTGCCCAAGATCCTCTTGAGGAGAGTGCGAGGTTGGTCAGATTGCGTGCATGATTTTACTTTGGGCCATGCAATCAACATTTCTCGCGGCGGGGCGCAAATAATTTTGAACACAATGACTTAACTTATCTGTTCACGTGTTGTATGTGCACCAATCAGCGGATGCGCATTT